TTGGACTTGTCTTTTCCACTTAATTTGACACTTTAGAAAGTTAATCAAGTTTGAAGTTGCAGTTTAGTGTCAGCAATATCTTTATATTATCTTATTTGCAAAGATTTGAAATAATTTTGGTTTATTTTTTATTAATTTTTTTAAATCTGGCAACACTGCATCGCAGGCACTTAAACTAATCAAAAAAGGTCATGGTCAGGTTATTGCTGACAGGATAGCACATTCGGTAAGGGAAATGCAAAAAATAACATGATATTATCCATCAGAAACATTATCAATGCTGTCAAAAACAGTAGCATTTAACACTAGTACATAGCTCTAGAACAAGTAGGTTACAGAATGAAATGAAATAGCCTACGCAAACACTTGCCATGAAAAAGTCTATGCTATTTCATTCAGTATAGTAGTAGTAAATTTACAAAAAGTCATGCTAAAAACATTCATAAGAGCACTAGACAAAGTTGTCATCTATATAGCAATGATTGTTAATGAAAACTGTAACATGCATTGTTGCATGATTAATAAACAACTGATACAATTATCCACCCCTAAAGTAAAATATTAACAAATTTTGATGCAATAAATATGGTAAAATTTAACAGTGTTCATCCCTCTGAAACAGAGAAAACATCTTTCAAAAACATATACATGTCTGTCTCTTTTAAAGTGTTTAGTGTATATAATGAGTTGTATCTGTAGGGGTTATTATCGCACAATTGTTTACCCCACCCCGGACCTCACTCATTTTCAAACCCTGGCTATGGCCATGCACTCATGAAATGGTCATCATTGTGTAAATGCAAAACAAATGACTTGTTAAATATCTTTGCAGAAAAGATGCATGAAACCTGTCTAAAACGTATCCTATGTTCATAAATAATATCAAATAGGAAAAATGCTAAACAGATCTTAGCCAGAATGTACACATTCAGGTTTAAAGGTTAACCCAAAAAAGTCAAGGCAATTCAAATTCAGAATGACTAAAAGCATAACACCCCGGTAGACTATTAACAGTAAATGCTTAGTAAAAAAAATTGCATTCTTTACAGGGTTTTGCATTCCACTGTGCTGCTTTTCCATTGTCTTCTCCATGTAAACATGCGCTTTGCAGCTTCTTGCACATGAAACAGAATTCTGAAGACTGCTATTTTTTGTTAATTATTGATATTCACTCTCCAGATAATTTTTTCTGCAATGGTCTGGTTCCAGTCAGATGGAATTTTTTTAAAAATCCAAAATTGCTGAACATTTCGCCAAGGTGGAGATGAAATCTGTCTTGACCCAAGAATTCTCATAATATAAGACACTTGAGTCTGCAACAAGCACTTTAATAGTAATGAGCGATATCATACCTTTGATCGCTGTAGCGCCCCCATCAGGCCGAATGCTGATCTTTGAAAATCTTAAGAATTACAATAAGGTTTAAGCGCAATGCTCTTGATCTCCTAAAAATCTGAAAAATTTACCAGTGATAATTGAAATAATACATTTAACTAGAGAGAGAGAGAGAGAGAGAGAGAGAGAGGGTGAGAGTACTTCTTGAATGTATCTGAGGCCAAAATGTCCATAGACCTTACTGAGCTGAGCGGGGGCAAATACACATGCTGACACTTCACTGTCCCCCAGGGAAAGACAGAGAGATTGAGAGATACAAGGAAAAAGGGAAAGGGGAAAGACTAGGGTGACTTTCTCCATTTTGAGAGACTGTGCGCCAGAAAACACAGAGACAGACATCCAGACTTCTGACCCCCACGGCAGCCCTCAAAGCACTCGAGACTGAGCAGAGCTTTCTTATTGCCCTGAAGGGTATTATAATGGAGAGTTAACTGCTTACGTAAACTGAAAGTGATTATGTTCAAAAACAAAATGTACTGCAAACATGGGGGGGGGTCTTAAAATCATTGAATCGCATACAAAACCAATCAAAAAGAGGCTTAGCAGCAGGTTAGATCAGTCTGATGAATTATTTCTTGAAATGAATTCTTTAGAATGGTTACTGAATTAACATCTGTTTCACTTACTGAAATTATTATATATTTTTTTGTATGTACATTAATACATACATTTCTGAACATTTAATATATTAATGTATTTAATGCAAAGTCTAAGACTGCATTTATTCAATCAAAAATACAGTAAAACAGAAATATTACTGCAATATATATTTTTTTCTTTTGTAATGTTGAAATTTCAAGTGATGCAAATTTTCAGCAGCCACTACTTCAGTCTTCAGTGTTGTATGATCATTCAGAAATCATTCTATTATGTTGATTTGCTGCTCACTTTTTTTTGTTGAAAAATGTTATTCGTTTTTAAGGAATCCTTGATGCATTTTTTTAAAGATTCTTTGATGAATAGAATGTTCAAAAGAACCAAATTAACTTAAAATATAAATGGTTTGTAACATTATAAATGCTTTTACTGTCACTTTTGACCAATGTAAAGTTTTCTTACTGAGTAAAATATTAAATAAAAGTCTAAAAAAAAAGACCCTACATTTTTTAACGGTAGTGCATGTGATTCAAAATAATCTCCGACTGATTGTCCAATGTGCCATTAAAGATTTAAGACAGATAAATATTGAATAAATCGTGAACTAACTCCCCAGCTGTCCTTCACTGGGTCTGTTATGAGTCATAATGTAATTTTGTTTATCCAACCAAGTTCAGCCTCCTGCCCTTTCACCAGCAGACAACCCGAGCTAAGGTCAGGCAGTCACAGAATCAGAAAAAAATACTTTTTTGCCCTCTTCCTTCCTGTGTAATATTTAATTCTGAAATCAATCTCTACCTCTGTAAATAGCGACATGATGAGGCTTCATCATTTATTAAGGTGCTGCCTGTTCTCTACAGTCACTCTGTCTTCAATATTTCTGTGCAAACCTGCGAGTCTCTTCCTCACACACGTCTAAAGTAGTCAGATGTCACGAGCTGCGCGGGCCGTCCTCTCTCAATAAAAGATGAGCTGCCTCTCATGAGAGAGATTCAGCGCGTGGCGTCTCCCGCCGTGCTGAGTCAAGTCAGACAAACAACATGGGGGTCTCATCAAACACCGTTCCAATATATCTCCACACAGCAAATTTGCAGAGACGTAGTAGATGGAAGATAGACAGCATCGCACTTTTAGATAAAGCCCTTGTGGTTACCGAGAAAGACTGACAGAGACAGAGATTGTGTCACAGGTGGTAACCCTAGCAAAACCAATGTCTTATTCTCTTATTTTCTCTCCAAATCACTTTCGCTGATATCCCACAGGACCTCAGGCAGTGCCGCCCAATGCTGCACATCTCTGAGCGCTGCTCTCTGCTGTTTACCGGCTGCCTAAATCCTCTCTCTCTCTGCAACTTTCTGTACCTAAAAGCCTCCTGTTCCCTGTCCACCCCTTATATTTTCCCAGCTGTTTTAACAGTGAAAGATTGATTACTTTGACAGAGGTAGTGATTACCGTGCTGGCAGTCTCAGTGGGCTTCCAGAGTGAATATTTACCTGGGAGAAATTCAATCAGTCAGGCTAATGCCATTCACCCCCTACTTTAATCTGCTCCAGGATTCAATTAGAGATCGACTCCACCTACCTGTGGGCGTCATTTTAGTCGCTGAGGTGAAAGGGGAGGAAAAAGCGAAATGGTTTCTTGAAGTGTACAGTATTAGAAAGCAGCAGCAAACAGTGTTTGTGGTGTATATGATCGGTTATGTGTGCATGTGCACGAACCGTCATCTAAAGTGCAATTGCTTGTAGACTTCACTAATTGTGCTAATTGTAAATGGCCTCAGATGCAGATCCTTAATGGATTTTCCTTGTGTTTTTCTTGGGTTCTTCCACCTGACTGAGCCATGCCTGAGTGCATTATCTTCACATAGCATAAGCAGAGCTGACTAATTACAATGATGTTCAAAATTTCAAAGCCAATTGTGTAAAAAAAAAGTATCAGAGCTTAATTGCTTTTGCCAGCACAGGTGTTATAATGTCCAAAACTTTTCTATTATTTTCTTTTTCAGCTCAAAAACCACATAAAGTAACTGCATCAATATGTGATTTAAGAACAAGAATAACTAAATATATAAGTACAATGCTAAATAAAAGTACAATGGTATGCAAATAAAAAGAAGGTGAAAAAAAGAATATATAATAATAGAAGAGGGTACACAAACAATGATGAATTGTGATTTATTTGCTATTCTGGGTAACACTTTATTTTAAGGTGTGTAACCTTGTTACACGTTACATGTACTAACTATTATAATAACAATAAATTATGCATAACTACATGCAAGTAGCCCAAAGCCAAAGCCAAACCCTAATCCTAACCCTAACCATATAGTAAGTACATGTAGTTATTTAATATTACTCAATACTTAAATGTATAATTACACTGTAACAAGGACACCTTAAAATAAAGTGTAAGCCAATTCAGTGATTTTTTATTAATCAATTTACAACTTTGATTAATATATAATGTCATTACTGACAAAACACCTAAGTATATTAAAGCTTATATCTAAGTAGCATATTGTAAAACCAGGTGTTTTGGGACAATGGTTTGTAGGTGCTGTTTATTATTTCAAGCACTAGATGGCAGTAAAGTGACCTGTTAAGAAAAGCTTACCTATTTTCAGTACATATTGAAACCCTCATTGCATCAGACAGAACTTTTCACCATCACTAACTATTGTTTTTGCCTTTCAGGTCCGTCTCTGGTAGGTGTGGTGAGAAAAGACTGGGCATCTCAAACTAGTATCGCCCTCTCCTGGCAGGAAACTGAGCAGCCACATGCTGTCATCCTGGACTACGAGATCAAGTATTATGAAAAGGTTACTCACCAGCATCGTTTTTAAATCATTAAAAGCTTCTCAGAGGTGGCATTTACACATCAATCATATCCGTATAATTTACTTATACTTTACTTTATTGCTGGCATACTTTACTCAGATTTGTATGTGTCAGTATTGTCTTTATTTATCATGATTTTGAGTAGGCGAAGAGCAGCCTAAACTCAGATGTGTAAAGATGCCTTAAAACTGAAAACATCAGTTACATAATGAACAGTATGCTAAATGAAGAATCTTGTTTTCTTTCTACCTTTATATTTATAGGAACAGGAACAGTTAAGTTACTCCTCTACACGCACAAAGTCTCCGAGCGTGATAGTGGCCGGACTAAAGCCCTCCACGGTTTATGCTTTCCACGTGCGTGCTCGTTCCCTCGTCGGCTTCAGCAGTTACAGCCCCAAGTTTGAATTCGCCACAGGAGACGAGAGTAAGGGTTTCTCTAAAAATGCCTCATTTCAATACCTGTTAGCCTAAAACACTGTAGTTGTGCTTAATTTTCTGAGATGGTGGTCATAACCACGTCATAACGAGTTTTAAACAGATGTTAGAAGGGAACATTATATGTTTATTGTCATTGACTTCAAGTGCTGTGTGATTTCAGTTCTGCTTTTTGGCTTACCTTAGTGCACCGTATGTATTTAAAGACCCACCAACCATTCTCCTGGCATTAAATCTATTTCTGAGACTGATAGAAGCCCCACTGACCGACCGAATGTAAACTTGAAAGTGACTTCATTGTTTTGTGCTTCTTTCTCTTTCTTTCTCCATCTCTTGCTCTTTCATGTGCACACACACACACACACACTTTCACTATGTCAGACTCTGAGGAGGCAGCTGATCAGGGCCAGGTGTTGGTGATTGTTACAGCCACAGTGGGGGGCTTCTCTCTCCTCGTCATTCTCACCCTCTTCCTTCTCATCACTGGCAGGTAATAAGGGAGCAAATAATAATGGGGCAGGTAAATATGCTCCAGGATAGATGAACAGATGTTGTGTTTATATGCATTTGCTATCTATCTATCTATCTATCTATCTATCTATCTATCTATCTATCTATCTATCTATCTATCTATCTATCTATCTATCTATCTATCTATCTATCTATCTATCTATCTATCATCTCTGTCTGTCTGTCTGTGGATGTCATGGATATGTCTTTTCTTTCATTCACTCATTTACCCTTAATTTAGCTCCTTGCTTATCCAGCCATCTCCTAATAGGCCTGTAGGCCACGGAGCACCTTCCTATTTTCCGATTGGCTGAGCCATGTCGCTGCCTAATTAGTCGGAATGCTGCAGCCTCCCGGCAGCGGCCGTGTCTGCTGCCATGAAATGGCCTGCTGTGAGACTGACAGCAAGCTTAAACATGCCACACAGTCCTGCGATTCGCAATATCAGCATGTGCAGCGCGCTGTGTGAAACCTCACTCAGCCAGCCCCTGTGCCATCACATCCTTGCACAGCTGCAGGGGCTGATGGCACCGTGTTCAGCTGCTTGTGCAGATTTGCAGGGAGGCTGTTGTGAGCAGCTCTCAAATAAATCAAGAGCTCTTGATGACGGACAGAATCAGTGTCTTAACTTCTCGAAAAAAATAAATTAATTTACAATTGATCACTCTTGAGTTGATTTCCCTGGAGGAGCATTAGTTTCATTTCAACATTTGAGGAGCTGTTCAGCCATGTGTCTTGAGTCTTTCTGGTTACCGATCATGATTCAGCACTGTGGACAGGGACACTGGCTTCAGAACCACTGACAGCGCTGAAGTCTAATTGTGTTATGTAACGTACATCAACAAAACCATTGATCAATTACATTTCTTTTTATTTGAACAGGTGTCAGTGGTACATAAAATCTAAGATAAAGTCAGAAGACAAAAAAAGAACACAGTATCAAAATGGGCATGGTATGAGACCTTAATTACACACTCACTCACATACTGTATATTCATATTTTAAATGTATTCAGGAGAAAAAAAAATACAGATTTCAACCTTTGACATGTTTTTTATAGTGCCATTCCCAGGATTAAAGACTTACATTGACCCGGACACTTATGAGGACCCCTCACAGGCCATTCATGAGTTTGCCAAGGAAATCGATCCATCTCGTATCCGAATCGAAAGAGTCATCGGAGCAGGTCAGAGCTCTTTTTATAGCTCACTTCAGTCTGATACTCAGTAGCCCATAATCTACTCCTGCTATTTCTGCAGCAAGATATAAAATGAAAATGTGTCATGAGTTAAAAATAAATTGGTTAGAAGACAAAGTTCTTAAAAAATGTTTAAAAAAAAACTGCTTCAGATTTCTTCTCTCCTTTAGTCTCTAGATCTAGGCTCTGGTTTTTCTTATGTGTCGAATTAAAATATATTTCAGATCATTGTCACAGTTAGGCTCTTAAATGCCTCTCTGAAAATCACTTTGTTATTCTCAGAAGACAAAATTATTAGAATCTAATCTTCAGTGAGGTAAGTAGGAAATAATTCAATGTGAAATCATTGCCACAAGGAGAACCCTTGTAAAGAGACTTGTGAACTTTGATATAGTTTGACTGCCACCTAGTGTTTAGTAAATACAAATGCAAGCAGTAACCCTAAATGTTATGACAGTGAATATGGACTCGAGTGTATTCTGCAGGCGAGTTTGGGGAGGTGTGCAGTGGCCGGCTCCGTATCCCAGGAAAAAAGGAAATTCCTGTGGCTATAAAGACCCTGAAGGGGGGATACACTGAGCGTCAGAGACGGGATTTCCTGCGAGAGGCGAGCATCATGGGACAGTTTGATAATCCTAACATCATCAGACTGGAGGGTGTGGTTACAAAGAGTAAGAAACGTTTTGCTTTCTTTTTGCCTTCTGAAGATTTAAACAGCTGTATAATATATCCATGATAATACCATTCAAATGTCTGAGGTCAGCCAGGTCTTTTTTGAAAGAAGTCTCGTATGCTCACAGAGGTTGCATTTATTTGATCATAATACAGTAAAAACAGTAATAATGTGAATTATTATTACAATTGAAAATAACTTTTATGAATTTGAATATGTTTTCAAATGTAATTGATTCCTGTGATGGCAAAGCTGAATTTTCAGCAGCCATTACTCCAGACTTCAGCGTCTAATGATCGTTCAGAAATCATTCTAATATGTTGATTTTCTGCTTGAGAAAGATTTCTGAGTATCAATGTTTTCAAGTATCAATCAGTTTAATATTTTTTTATGGAATCCATAATACTTTTTTTTTCTTTCATGATTATTTGATGAATAGAACGTTCAAAAGAACAGCATTTATTTAAAAAAGTATTTTGTAACATGAATGTCATTGTTACTTTTGATCAATTGATCAATTAATGCATCCTTACTGAATAAAAATTATAATTTCTTTCAAAAAAAGTGTTACTTAGCCTACACTTTTGAACAGTGATGTGATACCCTTCAGTAATGAGTTTAATGCAGCTCTATGTCTGAATAGCACGGCAGGGCATAAACAAATAAATGCATAAATAAAACATAAGGAAATCGTGAAGTATTGCTATTGATCATTGAGGATGCGAACTGTCTGAATGAAACTGATTACAGAATAACTTGGATCATCATCAGCCAAAAGCGTTTTTCTCTCTGCAAGAAAAACGTTCAAAAGAACAGCATTTATTTAAAAAAGTATTTTGTAACATGAATGTCATTGTTACTTTTGATCAATTGATCAATTAATGCATCCTTACTGAATAAAAATTATAATTTCTTTCAAAAAAAGTGTTACTTAGCCTACACTTTTGAACAGTGATGTGATACCCTTCAGTAATGAGTTTAATGCAGCTCTATGTCTGAATAGCACGGCAGGGCATAAACAAATAAATGCATAAATAAAACATAAGGAAATCGTGAAGTATTGCTATTGATCATTGAGGATGCGAACTGTCTGAATGAAACTGATTACAGAATAACTTGGATCATCATCAGCCAAAAGCGTTGTTTCAAACATGTTTCTCCGCCAAGTTTGATACACTCACAGCTTCGGTCTGACATGCAGACAATCACTGATTTCACGCTATAAATCAAACTACCTGCAACCTCCAGAAGAAAAAAAAAAGAAGAAACTGTCAGTGTATGATTCTAGAGTTATGTCATGTCTTTCATCTATTTGGAACTACCATGCTTCTATAGATTAACTAAGGCGGTTTGGAGAAGTTAATTAAAATGATAGAGGTACTACAGATGTTACTGTAGCAACATTATACACTAATTTCATAGAAACTAAGCACTGATAATGAAGGAAAAAGTGAACTTTTGGGTTTGACTTGTAGTCATGCAAAGACACAGTCGAGTAATGTGGCAATGTCTGTCCCATTTCCCTCTGTTTCTTTCTGTATAACCTAGTCCATTACTTACAGGTGTCCTGTTTTCCTCTTTGTAGGTCGGCCTGTGATGATAGTGGTGGAATACATGGAGAATGGCTCCTTGGACTCTTTTCTGAGGGTATACAAGAACTCAATTCATTACAATGGCACACCACACCTGACATTGCTCATAAACATGACCTATCCAGAGAGAGCATTTTCTCATTTGCCAGCAGATAGTTGATATGAAATGCTTTTAGAAAGTTGACATGTCATGCGGTGTGACAGTCTAAAACAGTGGTTCTCAACCAGGGGGCTGGGGTCCATTTGGGGTCTGCAGCAAACAAAAAACAAGCAATAAAATAATCCAAAATGACTAAAAATTCAGATATTTTGGTAATACTTTAGTATAGGGACCAATTAACTAGTTACTTATTAGCAAGCCTATTATTAAAGGGACAGTTTACCTAAAAATGTCATTAAATAAAATTCTGTCATTAATTACTCACCCTCATGTTGTTCCAAACCCATAAGACCTTCGTTCATCTTCAGAACACAAATTAAGGTATTTTTGATGGAATCTGAGAGCTCTCTGACCCTCTATAGACGGCAAGGATCCTTACAAGATCAAGGTCCAGAAACATAGCAAGGAGATCGGTAAAGTAATCCATGTGACATCAGGGGTTCAACCATAATTTTAGAAGCTACGAGAATACTTTTTGTATCCAAAGTCCAAAGTCATCAATTGGACTTAAAGTCATTTGTAACTAAACTGTTCTCTTTAGATTAAAAAAAAAAAAAGTTATACAAGTCATTAGTTCAGTTATTGGACTACATTGGTTACTGTATATAGTAGATCGGTAACACTTTAGAATAGGAAACACTTATTCACTATTAACTACGACTTTTTCCTCAATAAATTCCTAATTTGCTGCTTATTAATATTTAGTAAGGTAGTTGTTAAGTTTAGGTATTGGGTAGGATTAGGGATGTAGAATAAGGTCATGCAGGATAAGGAATGAATATGTGCTTAATTACTACTAATAATTGGCTAGTAACATAACATTCTAGTAATATGCATGCTAAAAAGCAACTAGTTAAGAGATTTTAAAATAAAGTGTTACCAGTAGATCCACTAACAATGTAATGTAGTGTTGAATAGTAGTGCCTTCAAGAACTGTAAAAAGAATTGAATGTCAAAAAAGGAACCAGGAATTATTTAATTAATTAATTAGTTTGTTTGTTTATTCATTCATTCATTCTTGGTTATCAGCTTTCAACTGATACTGAATTTCCCTGAGAGCCTACTCAATATTTGTTCTTTCCTCAATTTAAAACGAACTACTCAAAGCTATAAGGTTAATAAAAAGAAAAATCATTCTTAGCATCTATGTATTCATCAACTACTATCCAAACACAAGCTTTAAAGGGATAGATTCTGTCATTAATTACTCACACTTATGTTCCAAACCTGTAAGATCTTCGTTCATCTTTGGAACAAAAATTTAAATATTTTTGATGAAATCGAGAGCTTTCTGACCCTGCATTGACAACAACACAACTGACACGTTCAAGGCTCAGAAAGGTAGTAAGGACATCATTAAAATAGTCCACGTGACATCAATGTTCAACCTTAAAGGTGGGGTAAGTGATTTCTGGTAGCCAATGTTGATATTTCAAATCCCCAAAACAAACACTCCCCTACCCCAAAAGGGTCTCGCCCCTATTTTGATAGCTCCACCCCACACATACGTACGCAACCCAGGCAACGATTAGTTCTGTGAATCAAAGCAAAACCAATGTTTCACTGTGTCTACACCGGACGCGAGTGGCACGGCGCGGCAAAATACTATAGAACTCATTATAATCAGTGATGCTGTCTACACTGGATGTGGCGCGACACAACAAATCCCAGACAGAAAACTGCTGCTGCATTCTATTTATGACATATTGACACAAATTTCAAATGATTTTCAATGGTCGCTTTATCGCGTCCAGTGTAGACAGACTTCAGCTGTTGCGGTGTGCCTTGACAACTGTCGCGTCCGGTGCAGACACGGTGTTACTCACCTATCGAGAAGAAATAAAGCAACCTCGGCTTCCGATCGCAGGCCTTCCGCTCCTTGAGTTCTCTCCAGCGCTGGAAAGCTGATCCGATATTTACACTGTCCTACTTCTTGCCTACTTCTTGCCTTATCGTAAGCTTCTTTAGTTCCGCAGACGTTTTTCTCTTTTGTTTTTTATCTGCCATCTCTATCTTTCTGTCGCTCGGCTCGCTAATGTCCGTCCTGTGCACTGAACGTTCTCTCCTCCACATCATGAGTAGACATGCCCCTTACTGCTGATTGGCTACAAGTTTGTTTTGGTTCTTGGGCCGACTCAGTTTTCTAAAGCGTTTTTGAAAAAATACATACCCCACCTTTAATGTTATGAAGCAAATTTTTTGTGTGCAAAGAAAACAAAAATAACAACTTTATTCAACAATTTCTGCTTTCAGGTCTGGTTTAGAGGTGAATATTTGTATTGTTCATTGTGATAAACATCTCTATCCCTTTTTCTTGCCTGTCCTCCTCTTCTCTTCTCTCTTCTTTTGTAGAAGCATGACGGACACTTCACCGTGATCCAGCTGGTTGGTATGCTGCGTGGCATTGCCTCAGGTATGATGTACCTGTCCGACATCGGCTATGTCCACCGGGACCTGGCAGCTCGAAATATTCTAGTGCATGACAACCTGGTGTGTAAGGTGTCGGACTTCGGTCTGTCCAGGGTGCTCGAGGACGACCCGGAGGCAGCTTACACCACCACAGTAAGCCACATGCACCCGCTTCAATATTGGTTCATTTAAATTCAGGGCCGTTCAGAGTTAATAACAATCTGTGCTCTTTAGACAGCCAAAGCTGATCCAGAATCTCTGGAGCTTAGCACTACTCTGCTCGTCGTGTGTTAGTGAATGGGATTGAGTTTATCTAAGCAGTATAACATGAGATTAAGGGCTTACTCTGAGGAGTGATTGAGCAATTTGATTTATAATAAGATGCTAAATGTGTCTGAATACATCTGAACTTTTTGTTACAGGGGTCTGAGTGTGTCATTTTATACACTTATATTCCAAGAAAAGCTCAATTACGACTCATCATTACATAACAAGCAATCTCCTTTGATTGTCTAGGAAATGCAGAGTGATGCTGCTTGCTATTATAATAAAAAGAAAAGATTTTGTTTTGTCAGGGGGGTAAAATCCCCATCCGCTGGACCGCTCCCGAGGCTATTGCCTACAGAAAGTTTTCCTCAGCCAGTGATGCTTGGAGCTACGGTATTGTCATGTGGGAAGTCATGTCATATGGAGAAAGGCCCTACTGGGAGATGTCCAACCAAGATGTGAGTCACTTGGTCTATTCTAATTCTACTAAATTTTTAACAATAGAGTTTTCTAAGGCAGTTTTTCTGGGCAAAATGTATTTCAAATTTTTCTAGGCAAAATATATGTTGTAAACATCATTCAGCATTTTTCAATTTCAGTTTCGTGTAAACCTTCAAATGCTTTATTACAAATATTACATATGTATTTTATATATATATATATATATATATATATATATATATATATA